AGCCTAGCAAGGAAGTTCAAGAAGTAGAAGTATAAGAGCTGAGCGCAGTACTCTTACGTTGTTCCCTTTGTAGAATCCAGGAACTTTTCGCGAGAGCATTTGTGGAGAAAATCCCGGGACTGAACCCGGACATTGACAGGAAACGTTCCAGAGATATACCCGGATCTGCCGTGTGGACGAAAACCCTAAGGTAAGCCCTGGTTGGAACATCCCCTTTGTTGCTTTTGGCCTCGGTGGCATTGCAGCACTGGCGTTTGATTGCCCAATCATACGGGCCCATGGATCCAGCATTGCACTGTGATCTGGCGGGCAAACAGTTCAGCTACGATTGTGGCCAAATCAGATATTGTTTCTCTTGTTGTCCTCATCAAAATCCGACAAAAGGGGGCTTTTGTCCTTGCTCCTAGTCAGCAATCTGACAAGGAGTCTACACAGGCAAGAGTGTGGTGGGCCAGGATGGGGTTATCGTCATGCGTTCAATCACATGTGCGGAGGATCGTCCGGAAAAGATTGGTGCTAAAGGTCCCCCATCCACGTCACCTGTTGTGGCGCAGCCGTGGAAAGTTAATGCCAAACTTCCCTTTCAATCTGCCAATCATGTCCCTGACATGGCCAGGAAAGCTGGACCCTTGTGAGTCAGGTGGTCCCCAACGAACCCCACTTTCCCGCCGAACCTGGACCAAGGGCCGAACCATCTGCGCCACATTGGGGATATCTCGCCGTTCGACCTAATCCTGCTCTGCTCCGCGCGCCTTTTCTTGCCAGGTCATTGTACTGCAGAATTTCGGCTACAGTTCATTTCTGGGCGATGGCGGCGTGATCCTGATTCCTGAATCCTCCTGAATTGTTCTTGCTGGTGCCGGGGGTGGGTCGGGATAGACAAGCAGCACTTCACTTTGCTTCGCTGTCTGATCATCCTGTGATTCTATGATTCCCTTCGCTTCCCATCCCATACCTTCTCCTTCCATTCTCGAAGTTCCCAGCGTACTGTATCGATCATCAGCAGGCAGGTAGTCATCTGCAGAGCATACAGCGAAGCGCACAGCGCAGCAACCTGGTCGACTTGGCCAGCTCATCCTTGCTCGACCTTTCCACGATCCCTTGGGCCATGGGTAATCTCCAAACCTCGAAATTATCCACAGCTCCAGCCTGAGAAAGAGCCGAGGAGGTGTGCCGCCAGTGGTGCTGCTTCTCCTCAACCTCAACTCAAAGTAGACAACGCAACAGCACCCACGGCAAAGCAACCTGGCACTTGCCTTGTTGTTCAACCCGACGAAAGCAAAGCAGAGATTCCCATTTCTGTCCCTACCATCAGCAGCAGCATTTGCGAAGGACCGATATTTGGCCAGCAGAGCCCGACCAACACAGCACGTGAACGCCTGTGCAGTGCAAGCACCAGCAAAGCTTCTGTTCGTGAACGTGCTACGATTACGAACCGTGTGCGTGTACTTCAAGCGTGGTCGTCGTCCTGCATTCACTGAACACAACTTCAAGTTGCGTGATTCCACCCACTATAGCTAGCCTTTACCGAGTTGCTTCGAAAGCCCCTCGCGATTATCAGTACCCCCCTGGAGCGCGAACCGGAATCATTAATTCTCTTCTTCTTCTCGCCGAAATCGAGCCGTCGAAATGGGAGCCATAGACGCTGTGAACCCCGCATCCCTGCGTCCTCCGTCGGTGCGCGTGAGGCTGAACCAGCCGTCGTACGCGGCCGGCGAAGCGGTCATTCTCACAGTCGACATCGAGAATCGATCCGCGCAGCAGGCGGGCCGGCAGAGAGATCAGCACCAGCATCAGAATCAGCATCAGCAGCAGCAGCAGCAGTGGGGAGTTTATGCTGCGGATGGCAGGATTCAGCTGGAGAGCCTGAGCGTCGAAGTCAAAGGCGTCATTCGATCCGCGACGCCGCCGCCTGCGGATACAACATGGACTTGCAACGGTAAGGGCGAGGCCAAGTCCCAGTCACCACCAACTCTCAAGCCGTGCAGCATGTCGCGCTCGGCCCTCCTGGCTTGAAGAAGCCTCCTCCGAGAGGTCCTAAACCAGCTGATTCTCAGACCGTCGAAACGGTTAAACCTGCGCGGGTGTTTCACTTTCTCAATCAATGGCCGTTGGAAGGAAGGGGAATGCAAGCGCCGTGACAGTTTCTCCTCCAGGCCCTTAACATGGGTCCTGTTTGCTCCGCTCATGATCTGCTTGTTGGCCCTCCGCCATGCCTCCATTCCGTGCCTCCGTTCCGAACCTCTATCCCGTGCCTCCACTTCGTGCTTACAGGTGACGTGCCCTGTCTCGTAGCTCGTCCGCTCCGCCTCGCCATCCACGCGCCGCTTGTTCCGGGCTGTTCCAAGAGCTGTAAGCCGCTTGCTCCGCGCTTCCCGACGCTCTCTCTTCCCCTTCCCCACCACCCCCCACCCCCGCCCCACTCCGCTCCTGCTCATTTCGTCCTCGTTACTTGTACGCCCGATCATATTTTTCTCGTTACTTGCTCCTTCGACGGCCACCGTGTCGGTCTCACCACGGTCACTAGTGCTATCACGTCCGCATCGTCTCACGCCCGCCGCATCCGTGCCTTCCATCCTCGGGTGTAGATCTGTCGTTTCCTCTCCATCCTCGTCTTTCTCATCGCTGCTACCATCTGTCTGCCCTCCCCCTTCCACGCCGTCTCCCCACCCCTCTTCCTCCCCTTTCCCATCCCCACCTCCGCCCCCCTCCCCCGTCCCCTCGTCCTCTCCCCTACCTCTCAGATGCCATCGAGATCCCTCTGCCGATCAACGCGCTCCCATCCGGTCGCATGGTCGGGAACGACTCGCTCGCTCCCCCCCTCACCCTTCCTCTCCCCCTCCACGACGCGAGTGACCCCCCCGCGCCTCTTGAACCCGCCTCCGCCGCCGTGCTCTACCTCGTGAGCGTTTCCGCCGATTGGCGCGGGATCTCCGCGCCCGGCTTCGCCACCTCCGCCACCTCCGCCGCCGCTGGGCGTCCCGTGGTACGTGCACGGGAGTAGGGAGGAGCTGGGACGGAGGCACGGTGTTTGCCGCATTTGACTGTGCCATGTCGCGCCGGTTTTCCTCGCGGCGCATGCTCACCCCCCATTGTCTTCCCATTTCTCTCCTCTCTCTCCCTCCCTCGCTCCCTCTCTCTCATCCTTCCACTCCCTCGTCTTCTCTCTCCGTCCTTTCCCTCTCTCTTCCCTTACTCTTCCACGTGTGTCATTCTGTTGTGTCCGTCTGCTCACCCGGTGCCTGTGCGCGCAGGAGCTCCTGGCGTGGTTCAAAGTCAAGCCCGCCGCGGGTACCATTAGTCACGCCACAGCACCGCCAAGCACGGCGTTCAACCCTGGTGGGTCGCTGCTGCTCCTCTCCTGGCCGCTACTCCTCGTGTTGCCTGACGCTCTTGTCGCGTCTGTCGCAGATCCGTTCTCTTCACTCCGAGTCGTCGTTCACCCGCGATTGCTCTGATCTCCCGCTCTCCGCGCGTTCGTTCGTAGTGGCGCATTCCGCGCATTCCGCGCACGGCGTGCATTTACTTGGATCCCCAACGGACACGCGCTTCCATCTGCTGGCGCAATGCCCGCCGCCCGACGCCTTGCTCGTCCTCTCGCCACGCTTCTTCCCTCTCCGAGTCGCTCAAGGCGCGCTCCCTTCCGCGACACCCTGACATAGCCTCTCACGCTTTCCCACTCTCTTTCCTCCCACTTGCCGTCCCCCCCTCTCCCCCCACCCCTCTTCCTTTTCGCCCCCGTGTTTCCGCCCAGCCTGTCCGCCCTGCGCCCGCCTGTCCGCGCACGAGAGACCATACGGACGTCCATCCGCCGCGCTGGCATCCCCGCATGGACGAGTGAGTGGCGCGGGAGAGGCGGGGCCAGGGGGGGGCGCAAAGGGAAGCGGGAGGGGGAGAGGGTTTTGCAGAGCGGGTTTTGAGTAAAGAAGGGGGGCTGGTGGGAATGGATGGATAAGGCGTGTGAGTTTACGGTGCTATGATGAAGTTTATTCGTGTGAGTAGTTGTTGGGTTATCGTGGCTGTTGGATTAGAGCTAGGAATTTGCGCAGGTGTTAGTGCCGATTGAGAGTGGAAGTCTGTCCACCGCCCTTCTCCTCTTCCTTCCCCTTCCCTTCATCTTCGCCTCCCCAACTTCCACTTTCGTCGCTCCTCAACTCCTTTGCCCCCTCCTTTGGCCCCCTCTCCCTTCCCCTGCCCTTTCCCTTCCCCTTCCCACCCTCCCCGTTCTCCGCAGTCACCGTTCCGCCTTCCGCAGCTCACCACCCCCACCGCCTCCGCCTTTCCCCCAGGCTCCTCCCTTCCGCCCACGCCCACGCCCGTAACCCCCTCCCCTGGATCCAACCCCCCTCTACCCCGCCGCCTCCTCCCTCACCTGTCCGCGCCGCGTGAGCGCACCAGCTCGCCGTCCCTCGCGCCACCCTGCGCTGATGACGTGGAGGCTGTCAGCGTGGCTGCGGTCCTGCCGTGTGACGTCAGCAGCAGCAGATTCGGCGCGTGGGGATGGGCGCACGGGCAAGGGAACAGCCATGGCACGGCCTGCGATGGGGAGAGCTGCTTTGGAGATAAGCACATGAGAGAAGCAGAAGCCGACGAAGCAGGCGCCGCAGGATTAGTAGCAGCAGGAGCAGGGGCAGGAGCGGGAGCACCAGCAACGTATGGTTTTTCCAAGGCATATGCTCCTGGGTCTGCGATGCATATGCACGGATCGGCAGCCGCGGCACACGTGCATGGGCTGGCTGATGTGCCCGAAGAAAGGATCGTCGCGCACAGCAGCGGCAGCAGCAGCAGCGTGTGGGGCGGCAGCAGCAGCGGCAGTGTCGGCAGCTGCAGCAGCAGCAGGCCGAGCGACGAGGAATCCGCCATTGCTGCCGCCGCCTCGGCCGCCGCCGCTGCTGCTGCTGCCATCGCTGCTGCTCGCGGGCGGGAGAAGAAGGCGGAAGGAGGGGGGATGGAGTGGGGAACTGTGGCCGGGAGGATGGGCGGGAGGGGGATGGTGAGGGCGTCGACAACAGGGCAGGTGACGGAATGGCGAGAGGGAGGGGGGCTTGTGGAAACAGCAGCAGCAATAGCAGGAGTGGCAACAGGAGCAGCGGCGGCGGCAGCAGCAGAAGCCGCAGCAGCAGCAGCAAGGGCTATGAGGAGAAGTAGGAGTGACGATGCTGGTATGCCTGGGCAGGGCCGCCGTGGGTACTACGCTGGGGGGTATGCAGAGGGGGCGGAGGGGGAAGAGGAAGGGGAAGAGGACGCGTACAGCAGTAGCAGCAGCGCGGAAGGCAGTCTGGAGGGTGGCCTGGAGGGAGCATTGGATGGCAATAATGGTGCCAGTGATCAGGGCCAGGGCAACCGGTTTAGGACAATGTCTCTGCCGGCAAGGAGGCTGCCTGACGTCCCCCTGGAAGGTATGATGTGGCCCGGTCAACAGGTGATGGGTGGGAGACACCAGCCGGGGATGGGAGACATGGGACGCAAGATGTGTGTGTGATGTGAGAGATGTTGACGCTTTTCGCTGCTACATTGTCCAGATCCTGTCCCCACTCATATGGCTTTGGGTATTGCTCACTTGTGCAGGCTCCAACCAGGCTAGTCCTCCTCAGCCATCCCTTGGTTTCCTCCCTGCCTGTGCCGATTATCCTCTCTGCAACGCAGGTCTGCTTGCCCCAGAGCACGACCAGGAGGTGCCGCGGCAGCTGCTGTCGCACTGCACCATGATGCCCCACGACTCCCACGGCCCTACCCACGCCCACGGCGCCCACGGCCCTGCCCATGTGCACGGTCACGCGCCCCTAGTGTGCCACGACCCCACCTGCCATCACACAAGCTGCGACGCCATGCCTGTTGGCTCCCCCGCTGACTGCCTCAACTGGGAAGGTCAGCTCAGCACCCCGCTTCTCCAACTTGAGAGTCTAGACTGCACTTTCTACGCCCCACACACCAAGTGGCCCTAATTTAAGCCTTAAGCCCATTCGAAGTGTTACCCTAGCCATTGCCTTTCTGCCACCACACACCATACTCCCTTCCATCTGGCCATAACCCCTCCTGCCCCCCCCTCCCCCCCTCTCATTCCTCTCCCACCCTGCAGAGGTGGAGGCGTTTTGCCGCAACATGGACAGCGCACGAGTGCGCATCGAGTCCATCGACATTCAGCACGAACCCAGGAAGTCCGCACGGCATGGAGTGGCCACACACAAGGGCTTAAGGGTAACTGGCTTGCACGGGCAGGAGCAGCAGCAGCAACCGCAGCAGGGGCAGCAGCAGGGGCAGCAGCAGGCGGAAGGGAAGGGGAATGGGCAGCAGAGGGAGAGGGAGGAGGCGGTGGGGATGGAGGCGTGCAGCAGAGTGCTGTTTGCTGTCAAGTTCCAGGGCATGTCGCTGTGGCACTACCCCGCTAGTGACAGCGTCAAGCCTCTCTTCCGCATGGCCTCCTGAGTCTCCTGGCTCTTCTAAAACTGGGAACGATGGACGATGGAGGGGACTTGTTGGATGGGGATACAGCAGAGAGGCGGTGTGGGCAAGAGGAGCTGCCCCACGCCTGATTTTTTCAGGATTCCTTACAAGCGGTTGGTGGCCTCCAGTGGGCTCGGTTCTGAAGGCACATGCAGTCATGGTGTTGGGACATTATGGCATCTGGGCTTTGTTGTAGGCACTGCAGGTGGAACTGGGAGTGAGGGAAGTGGATATTTCCGTAACATTCTCTCTTTTATTTATTTATTATGGAAAGGTGGCAGTTAATACATGCAGTGGCTAGCTACACACTTTAATTGCACTGGTACTTAGTGCAAAACGTGCAATGCACAAAGGGTCTGCGAAAGAAAATTGTGGGGGCTCTTTTTGCGCATGCGGAAAATTTGCTTCGAAGAAACCAAACCCATGATAATGTCAAACATCTGTATTTGTCATGTTTGTATAGACTGTATAGGGTTATCTCTTAGAGGGTACAACACTTAGTTATATTTGTGTGTACTCTCACTTTACCAACATTCAATTCCAATTCTGTTATGGTATCACGCGTAGGTAGGATCCCCCCCACCTACCGCTTCCGCTCATGCCCCCTAGCGCCCCTCCCAGGCCCCGTCGCGCTCCTCCCAGGCCCCCTAGCGCCCCTCCTGGGCCCCGTCGCGCTCCTCCCAGGCCTCGTAGCGCCCCTCCTGGGCCCCGTCGCGCCCCTCCCAGGCCCCGTCGCGCTCCTCCCAGGCCCCCTCGCGCCCCTCCTGGGCCCCGTCGCGCTCCTCCCAGGCCCCGTAGCGCCCCGTCGCGCCCCTCATGGGCCCCATAGCGCCCCTCCTGGGCCTCGTCGCGCCCCTCCTGGGCTTCTTAGCGCCCCTCCTGGGCCCTGTAACGCCCCTCCCAGGCCCCGTCGCGCCCCTCCCAGGCCCCGTCGCGCTCCTCCCAGGCCCCCCAAGCGCCCCTCCTGGGTCTCGTCGCGCTCCGCCCAGGCCCCGTAGCGCCCCTCCTGGGCTCTGTCGCGCCCCTCCTGGGCCACGTCGCACCCTGCCCGACCCCGTCGCAGCCGCCAGGCCCCGCCGCCCTTGCCTGGCCCCGTCGCAGCCGTCCGGCCCCGTCGCCCCCGCCCGGCCCCGTCCCACCCTGCCCGGCCCCGTCGCAGCCGCCCGGCCCCGTCGCACCCGCCCGGCCGCCGTCCCGCTCGCCCGGCCCCGTCGCACCGGCCCGGCCCTGCCGCACTCGCCCGGCCCCGTCGCCCCAGCCCGGCCCCGTCGCGCCCGCTCGGCCCCGTCGCCCCGTCCCGGCCCTGTCGCACCAGCCCGGCCCCGTCGCGCCCGCCGGCCCCGTCGGGCCAGCCCCGGCCCCGTCCTCCTCACTGGTACGGTTCCCCCCCACCCCGCCCTGCGCCGTGCCGCCCCGCACCACACTGTACTGCCTGGCACCGCACTACCCCGCACTACACCGCACTGCACCGCACTGCACCGCACTGTACCGCACTGCACCGCACTGCACCGCACTGCACCGCACTGCACCGCACTGCACTGCCCTGCACTGCACTGGACTGTTCCTGATGGCGGCGGAGCTTCGCTTCGACGCTGAAGGTCAGCCCCTAGAGTTCGAGGCGTGGCTTGCCGACCTCCGCCGTCAACTCACTGGCCAGCGGCAGGATGGTGAACCGCTTTCCGCACACCTTGACGGTACGCTCCCCTGCCCAGACCCCCCTGCTATTCTGCCCGCTGACCCCACACCCACTGAGCGTGAGGCTACTGCTGCCACTGCCCGTGCGCGCTCTGTCTGGCTTTCTCGCGATGCTGTTGCCCAGCTTGCCATTAGCAACGCCCTTCCCCCATCCGAGCGTCCTCGCTTTAGGTCCCTCACTACTGCTCAGGCATACTTAGATGCTGTGATCAAGCGCTATTCCACCCCTCCGGCTGCCTCGGTGGGTCGCCTGATCCTTCCGCTGCTCTTTCCTGACCTTGCATCTTTCCCCACTGTCTCTGACCTCGCTGCCCACCTGCGCTCGATAGATGAGACCTGGCGCGCTGCCTGCACTGACGCCCAGCTTAGAGCCCACCAGCCGCCCATTACCTCTACCCTCTACCTGCTTGCCACCCGCCTCCCTGACCGCCTTGCTGTCGCCCGCGACCGCTTTCTTAGCGTTCACTCCGCAGACCTCACCCTCACTGACTTTGTAGACACCCTGACTGTGATAGAGACCCGTCACCGCTCCATTGCCCAGGCGAGCGGTGTCGTGCCGGTCCCTATCTTTTAGGGTTGTGCCCCCGCTCAGTGCACCTTCTCCGACGGCTCTGCCGCAGTGGCTGAGACTGCTGCTGCAGCGCAGGTCCGTTCGGGGAAGGGCCGCCGCCCCAAGGCTGGGCGCGGCGGAGGAGGCGGCGGGGGTGCGGGCGGGGGTAGTGGTGGGGTCGGGTCGCCTGGTGCTGGAGTGAACGAGGGGACCCTGCCCAGTTCAGCTGAGTCGCCGCCCCTGCAGGTGCAGCAGCCGCAGCAGCCGCCGCAGTCGCAGCCTCCGCAGCAGCCGCAGCAGCCGTCGCAGACGCGGCAGACGAGTGTCCTCCCGCCCGGATGGCCCGGCGCTGGCGGTGGCCGGGCGCGTGGTGGTGTGCCGCGTGGTGGCTCTGGCGGCGGGCGTTGTCAGTACCAGATCCAGACCGGTCCTCGCCGCGGCTTCATTTGCGGTAAGCTCGGTCACTCCACTCCCCGCTGTTTTCGTCGCCTGGACGACCTCTTTCGTCAGCGCTTCGACCCGTCGCCAGACCTCCCGGACTGGCACAGTTTGCTTAGTCGTCAGATTCAGATTTTTGATATGGACATGGATGCCATTGTTTCTGCTCTGCATGTGATGTATGCTGATGACTCTAGTGTGCTTCCCGCTTATTACTCACTGTTGCGTAGTGTATGTGTGCCTAGCTTAGCCTCCCCTGCTGCGTCAGGCGTAGGATCCCCTGCTTTGTGTAGTCTTGGTGCTTCCGCCGTCGTTCCGTCGCCAGACGCCTCTGCTTCGCTTTCCTTCACCTTGGACTCTGGCGCTTCCCGGTGTTTCTTCCGCGACTCCACCACCCTGACGCCGCTTCCTGTTCCTGCTGCCGTTTCTCTTGCTGACCCCTCCGGCGGTCCGGTAGTCGCCCGCAGCTCCACCACCCTTCCCTGTCCGGCGGTTCCTTCGGGCACTCTCACAGGTCTGCATATCCCCTCGTTCTCCAGGAACCTAGTTGGTGTCGGCTGCCTCCAGGACCTTGGCGTCACCACTACGTTCCCTGGTCACGAGCGGTATGCTGTCTGTACTGAGGCCGCCACTGGTGCCCCCCTGTCCACGTTCCCCCGGGACTTGGTGTCCGGCCTGTTCACTCTGGACACCGTGACCCCCCCGGCTGGAGCGCCCCCTCAGGTGGCTGCGTCTACCCAGGTTGCTGCTGCTTGCTCCTGTCGCTCCCTCACTCACCCGACCCTCCTGTGGCACCACCGCCTAGGTCACCCTGCGCTCCCGCGTCTGCGTCACATGTCTCAGCACGGTCTCGTCCTTGGTCTCCCAGGTTCGCTCCCCGCGTTTCCCTCCTCTCCAGCCCCACCTTGCACGCCTTGTGTCGAGGGTCGGCTTCGCCGTGCCCCTCACTCCTCCTCGTTTCCCCCTACCGCCGCGCCGCTGCAGACCCTGCACCTGGACGTCTAGGGCCCCGCCCCCGTCCCTGGGCCGCGTCGAGAGCGCTACTTCCTTGTGCTTGTCGACGACTTCACTCGTTACACCACAGTCTTTCCCCTGGAGCGCAAGGCCGACGTGCCTGGCGCTCTCATCCCCTGGCTTGTCTCTGCGCGTGTCCACCGCGGTCTCCCTGTCTTGCGTCTTCACTCAGACCGTGGTGGCGAGATTGCCTCCGGTGTCCTTGGTCGCTTTTGTCGTGCGGAGGGCATCACCCAGACGTTCACCCTACCGGACTCCCCACAGCAGAATGGGGTCGCTGAGCGACGCATCGGTTTGGTCATGGAGGTCGCTCGCACCTCCATGATCCATGCCGGTGCACCCAATTTTCTGTGGCCGTTCGCTGTGCGCTACGCTTCTCACCAGCTTAACCTGTGGCCGCACCCTCAGCAGCCGCAGGTTTCGCCGACCCGTCTTTGGACTGGGTCCCCTGGTGACGCGTCTGCGTTCCACGTCTGGGGCTGCCTTGCTCACGTCCGTGCCTCCGGCACGGACAAGCTCACTGCCCGCACCCTTCCCTGCGTCTTCCTCGGTTTTCCCCTTGACGCGTCCGACTGGCACTTTTACCACCCGCCGTCTCACCGCTTCTTTCACTCTCGTGACGTCACCTTTGACGAGTCCGCCTCCTACTACCGCCGCTTTCCCCACCGTGGTCCCCCGGTTACCCCCCCCTGTTCCTGGTCACCCCTTCCCCGGTAGTCCCTGCCCCTCCTCCTCCTCCTCCTCCCCGTCCCGCCCCCTCTGGTGTGTCCCACGTCACCCCCCTTCCGTCCGTGGACCCGGTTGAGGAGTCTTCTGCCTCTGGTGGCCCTCCTGTGCAGTCCTCGCCGGCCGCCACTCCCCAGGTGTCCCCTCCCCAGTCCCCTCCTCCACCGCCCCTACCGCTGCTGCAGCCGCCGCCGCCGCCGCCGCCGTCGCAGCCCCCGTTCGCCGACTCTGGGGGTGCTCGTCCCGGTCGCCCTGGGGGTGGTCCCTCTGGGGGTGCTGGTGTGGAGAGTGCCGGTGGTCGCCGAGGAGCAGCTTGCGGTCCCGGTGTCGCCGTTGTGCCGCCGCAGCAGCGGTCCCCGCCGGTGTCCGCCCTTCGCCTGCTCGGCCTTCCGTCCCCCGACCCTGCGTCGGTTCCTCCCCGACCGTCTCCTCCTCTTCCTGTCTACGGCCCTGTTTTCCCTCCGCCGGACTCGTCCCCGGCTCGTCTCCCCCCTCGTTCCCCTCCTGTGTCCCCTCCCCTGTCTCCTGACCCGACTCCTCCGTCGCACGTCTGGTCTCACCGCCCCTCCCGTGCTCGTCCTGCCTCGCCTGTCTTGCGCTCCCACCCTATGTTGCTTCGTTCCCACGCGTCTCGTCCTCCCCTTCTCCCGTCGCCTCCTCCGTCCTCCCTTGTTGTTGCGCCCCCCCCGCTGTCCGACTACCTTCGTGCCGCTCGTCCTCTCTCGTTACCGACCCGTCTGTTCCGGTCTCGTGCCTTGACGCTCTTGTCGCTGCTGTCGCTGACTTCGCCTCTACCCGCCGCCTAAACTACGCCACCGCTCTGGTCTCTGACCCTGCCTGTCCCCAGCTTAACTTGTGGCCGCACCCTCAGCAGCCGCAGGTTTCGCCGACTCGTCTTTGGACTGGGTCTCCTGGTGACGCGTCTGCGTTCCACGTCTGGGGCTGCCTTGCTCACATCCGTGCCTCCGGCACGGACAAGCTCACTGCCCGCACCCTTCCCTGCGTCTTCCTCGGTTTTCCCCTTGACGCGTCCGACTGGCACTTTTACCACCCGCCGTCTCACCGCTTCTTTCACTCTCGTGACGTCACCTTTGACGAGCCTGTTCAGTCCTCGCCGGCCGCCCCTCCCCTCGCGTCCCCTCCCCAGTCCCCCCCTCCACCGCCTCTGCCACCGCTGCAGCCGTCGTCGTCGCTGCCGCCGCCGCCGTCGCCGCCGCCGCCGCCGTCGCAGCACCCGTTCGCTGACTCTGGGGGTGCTCGTCCCGGTAGCCCTGGGGGTGGTCCCTCTGGGGGTGCTGGTGTGGAGAGTGCCGGTGGTAGCCGAGGAGCAGCTTGCGGTCCCGGTGTCGCCGTTGTGCCGCCGCAGCAGCAGTCCCCGCCGGTGTCAGCCCTTCGCCTGCTCGGCCTTCCGTCCCCCGACCCTGCGTCGGTTCCTCCCCGGCCGTCTCCTCCTCTTCCTGTCTACGGCCCTGTCTTCCCTCCGCCGGACTCGTCCCCGGCCCGTCTCCCCCCTCGTTCCCCTCCTGTGTCCCCTCCTCTGTCTCCTGACCCGACTCCTCCGTCGCACGTCTGGTCTCACCGTCCCTCCCGCGCTCGTCCTGCCTCGCTTGTCTTGCGCTCCCACCCTACGTTGCTTCGTTCCCACGCGTCTCGTCCTCCCCTTCTGCCGTCTCCTCCTCCGTCCTCCCTTGTTGTTGCACCCCCCCCGCTGTCTGACTACCTTCGTGCCGCTCATCCCCTTGTTCCTCGGGTCCTTGCCTCTCTCGTTACTGACCCGTCTGTTCCGACCTCGTGCCTTGACGCTCTTGTCGCTGCTGTCGCTGACTTCGCCTCTACCCGCCGCCTTGACTACGCCTCCGCTCTGGTCTCTGACCCTGCCTGTCCTCCGTCTGTCGGGGGTGCTCCTGCCCTTGGCAGTGACGTCCTGGAGGACCGCCAGTTCGAGCTTGCTTTCCTCTCCGAGGCTGCTCCCCATCTCTGTTCCATGCTGCTAGTCCCTGAGGGTGACCTAGACGCTTTCGACATCCCGACCCCTCGCACTTACGCTGAGGCGACTTCGGGACCCTGGGCCTCGCAGTGGATAGCTGCCATGGAGCAGGAGATGGCATCTTGGAGATCCACCGGCACCTTCGTCGACGCAGTTCCCCCACCTGGGGTGAACGTAGTCGATGGCCGCTGGCTCTTCAAGGTGAAGCGCCCTCCTGGAGAGCCGCCTGTCTTCAAGGCGCGCTATGTGGCTAGAGGCTTCAGTCAGCGCGAGGGGGTGGACTTCTTCCAGACCTTCGCTCCGACCCCGAAGATGACTACTCTTCGGGTTCTGTTACACCTAGCTGCTCAGCGTGACTACGAGCTTCACTCCCTCGACTTCTCCACTGCCTTCCTTCAGGGCAGCCTACACGAGCAGGTCTACCTGCGGCGCCCTCAGGGCTTCACTGGCACCTTCCCTCCTGGGACCCAGTGGCTCCTGCGGCGCCCCGTCTACGGCCTGCGCCGGGCTCCCCGTGAGTGGCACGACACTCTCCGTGCTACGCTTGCTGACCTACAGTTCTTTCCGTCTTCCGCAGACCCTTCACTCTTCGTTCGTGCTGGCCAGACTCCGTTCTACATCCTTGTTTACGTCGACGACCTGGTCTTTGCCACAGCTGACAGGGACGCACTGGCCTCCGTGAAGGCAGAGCTGCTGAAGAGACACACGTGCACTGACCTTGGAGAACTGCGCCGTTACCTTGGCTTGCAGATCTCCAGGGACAGAGCTGCGCGCACCATCACCCTGACTCAGTCACACTTGGTGCGCCAGGTCCTTGAGGTTCAGCCTTCAGTTCTCCTCTGCACAGCCCACCCCTCTGCCTGTAGACCACAGACTCTCCGCTCCAGTGTCTGAGGAGTTGGTAGAGCCCAGCGGCCCCTACGCAGAGCTGGTGGGTTGCCTCATGTACCTGATGACTTGCACTCGCCCAGATCTCGCATACCCTCTCAGCATCCTGGCTCGCTTTGTGGCCACAGGCAGGCACCGACCGCAGCACTGGTCTGCCGCTAAGAGGGTTCTGCGTTATCTTGCTAGTACATCGGGCATGGGGTTAGTGCTAGGAGGACGCAGGCCAGTGGTCCTTACTGGACACACAGACGCTTCGTGGGCAGACGACGTTGAGACACTCAGGTCTACGCAGGGCTACTGCTTCAGCCTTGGCTCAGGTGCCGTCTCGTGGAGAGCTACCCGCTACTCGTCTGTTGCGCAGTCCAGCTGTGAGGCTGAGATCTACGCTGGTGCCATGGCGGCACAGGAGCTCCGCTGGCTGACCTTCTTGCTCACTGACTTAGGTGAGCGGCCTAGCTCTGCCCCGGTCCTGTTCGCTGATAACAGGGCCATGATCCTCCTGTGTCAGGAGCCTCGACTCGAGGGCAGAGCAAAGCACATTCAGCTGCGGTACTTCCTCCTGCGTGAGCTACAGCAGCGACGTCAGGCTCGCGTAGTACACTTGGCCTCAGGTGCCAACACGGCTGATATCTTTACGAAGGCGCTTGCGCCTAAAGATCATCAGCGGCACTGTGTACAGCTTGGTCTAGTTCCTGTAGCCTCTCACTTGCTAGGACCTTGACTTTGTACTGTCCTTGATACGTATACTCAGACTGGACTTGTGTCCTCTCCCAGTGGCTGGACTAGTAGTGCCGCCCTGCTCTTGTTCTTGCCTTGTTTGTACTTCTTCTGACTGGTCTCTCAGACCCTTGTCTCAGAGGTTGGACTAGTAGTGCCGCCCTGAGCTGTTTGTTTAGGGCATTCCCCTATGCAGTCTAGGGGGTGTGTCAAACATGTGTATTTGTCATGTTTGTATAGACTGTATAGGGTCGCCTCTTAGAGAGTACAACACTTAGGTATATTGGTGTGTACTCTCACTCTACCAACATTCACTTCTCTAATTCTGATAGTTACGTGCGCGTCTCTCACCGCCAAACAGAGTAAGGCCCTTGTATTGTAGGCAGATACAGTACGCAGGCCCTGGTCTCTCTCCCAAGCAGGCCTCTCGATATCCTAGGGGTCACCCTGCAGTTTCCAAGTTTGCCCGGGATCCAACTCGTCCAGGCTGGGTAGCCCTAAAAAGTTTGACTGTATTTGCAGGCAAGAGTTTCGTCAAGCTCGAAATCAGCTACTCCTGACAATGACAGGGGGGGATATTTTTACTAGGGGCGCGAACGTCTACATTAGATTTCACAGGGCGGGTCTATCCCGTACTCGGAAATTGGCCGTGGGATAATTCTGGCTTGGCTGTCCATGGACGGGTATCGATATTCTGAATGCGTCAAAAGCAGGGCTAGGTTAAATTTTCAACCTGTTTACCTTGACAAAGCAGTGTAATTACCCTGACTTCCAGAGGCCTGCTCGCCAGGCTCGCGCAAAAAAAAATCTACGCAAAACGGTTGAATGCGGTTCCGCGTGGTCTGATGCAGGGTTGTGACTGTCAATGTTCAGGCCCTGTTTTCAAACTTCTTCTCAGGCGCGCCTTTTTGAGACAGGCGCGCATCTGTACAGTACGATTTTGACGCGAGCAGATTCGAAGCAGCTGAGAATAGTGATACTGAAACGGTTTTAGCTTGACAAGGAACCTTCGAACGCGCTCGTAGGTGGGTCCAAGTCTGGGAAGACGTTCGTAGGAACAGGCTGTCAGCAAGGAAGAAAAATGGAAGTCTAAATTGCAAGTGGCGATGTTTCTTGCGGCAATTTTTTCGTCTGAATGTTCAGACTTGCGGGAAAAATTTGTCTGAAATCTCAGACTCCTTGAAAAATTTCGTCTGATGGTCAGACGAAACTTTGGAACCCCGTCTGATTTTCAGACAGCCCTAAATCCTAGCTGAAACCCTGCCACGCATCCATCATGGCATGAGGCGGCATGTCCTGGCATGCAGGCTGGAAGGAGGCATGTGTCTCATGTGGCATGCGGAGCGCAGGGGGGGGAGGCGCCACTGCTTGAATCACCTGAATGCAGGAGATAGAAGGAGGCAGGCATGGAAGCAGGCAGGCACAAGTTCACGCAGGCATGAGCCCAGATGGGAATGGAAGCGCCAGAACCAGCGGTGCGAGCAGGGCCGAGGCTGCTCCAACACCCACCCAAAAGAGAATGATAAGAAAACAATGTGATGATGATAGTTCCATAATCGCAACAGGAGCGTAGCAGAGACACAGAAGGCAACCGGGGGGAGGAGAGGCAACGCCGCACTCATGATTGCACCTGGCTGGAGGCGGGGTGGTGGAAGAGGCAGCGGAAGGAGTGCAACCAGTATCCCGTGTCCCCGGGCCGAATGGGAATGGCACCACTGCCGCCACTACCGCTTCCGCTTCAGCTTCTGCTTCCGCTACCACTACCGCTTCCGCCACCGCCACCGCCACCGCCACCGCCACCGCCACCGCCACCGCCACTGCCACCACCGCCGCTACGGCTACCGTTACCGCTACCGCTACTGCTACGGCTACTTGCAACAGGAGCAAATCAGAGACCACACAGAAGGGAACAGGCGCGAGGCCATACCTGGTTGGAGGCCGGGTGGTGGAAGAGGCAGCGGAAGGAGTGCAACCAGTACCCCGTGTCCCCTGGCCGAATGGTGCTGCTGCTAGTGCCACTGCCACTGCTAGTGCTTGCACTGCCGTCAACCATGCCAATACTGCTCCTGCTGCTGCTGCTGCTGCTGCCGGAGTCTTTGGCTGGGTTATCATTGTTCAGCAGAGCGCTTGCACCTGCAGCATCTTCACAATTTGCAGCAGAGTCAGGGCCATGCTCAGGCAACAGGCCTGCGATAGCAGCTGGAACTCCCCCAGAGACATACAGAGGGTCGCCTGGAGGGAGGCAGGGAGAGAGGAGAAGAGAAAACAAGGTGGAGATGAAAAGGAAAGCACCAGCAGCGTGTTCAGCATGTGCGGACAAGAGGGCAAATGCACGGACAAGAGGGCAAACACCAACGAGGGGATGGGGAAGGGGGGTGAGCCCTCCGCAGTCCACCAGTACACCATGTACGCACGGACGGACACGACGGCACCCAGCATGCACGGAAAGACAAGAGGGCACCCAGCATGTACACAGGGGCAACAGGACAGCCGCCATGTACACAGGGGCAAGGAAGAGAGACACAAGGGCACCCACCAACGAGGGGATGGCCGGCGGCGGCACAGTGAATGCGGATCTGATGGGCGCGACCAGAGAATATGCGCACCTGGGTTGGGGGGGAGGGGGAGGGGGGAGGAAGGGAGGGGGTTATGCACACCTGGGTTGGGGGGGAGCGGGAGGGGGGGGGAAGGGAGGGGTTATGCACACCTGGGTTGGGGGGGAGGGGGGGAAGGGGAGGGTGGAGGGGGATGGAAGGAGGGGGATATGCGCACCAGAACCGAGGCAGCAAGGGAAAGGAAGAGCGGTTGGTTTAGGGGAGCGAGGGTATGGGCATGGGCATGAGGGTAGGGGTATGAGTGTGGTTACCTCGAGCAGGGTCTGGTTGGCTTGAGAGTGCCGATGAAGCACTCGCAGCACACTGACTGCCGGCTTGCCTGATGTGCATGGCAGGAGAAAGGGAAAGGGGAAAAAGAGCGACAAGAATGCGGGGTTGAGGGCGAACTGGATGGTAAATGTATCGAGTAGAGATGGAGATTGAAAGTGGAGCACGATGGTAGGGTGGAGGGGGTGTGGAGGGAGTGCTGAGGGAGTGAGGAGGGAGTGTGGAGGGAGTGTGGATGGAGTGTGGAGGGAGTGCGGAGGGAGTGCCGAGGGAGTGCGGAGGGAGTGCGGAGGGAGTGTGGAGGGAGTGCGGAGGGAGTGTGGAGGGAGTGTGGAGGGAGTGCAGAGGGAGTGTGGAGGGAGTGTGGAGGGAGTGTGGAGGGAGTGCGGAGGGAGTGCAGAGGGAGTGCAGAGGGAGTGCGGAGGGAGTGTGGAGGGAGTGCGGAGGGAGTGCGGAGGGAGTGTGGAGGGAGTGTGGAGGGAGTGTGGAGGGAGTGCAGAGGGAGTGTGGAGGGAGTGGAATTTAACTGGTCGAGTATGGTATGTTACCCACCAGTAGGAAAGGCCATGAAGAGCCCCCCGACCACAGAGCCGTACTCCACACGTCCGATGGGTACTCGCACTGTTTGCTGCAACCAGTGCAAGCAGAGGAAAATGGGAGTACAGTACAGTACGATAAAGTACGATATAGTACGGTATGGGCCAGGCGGGTTAGAAGTCACAACGGACCTGTGCTTGTGCCTGACCCCTTGTGTTCAGACCCCCCCTATGTCACTCTGTGAGCTGCCCAGACCTCCGCTCCGCACCTCCTGAAAGATATGGACCTATGGTTGGTCCGTTCAAAAGGCGGACCTTTACCTCCTCTCTCGCACCACCAGACCAGAGGCGGCTGGTTCCTTCTCCAGCCGTTTTGGCTCCCCAGAGTAGTGGTTAGTTCTTCACCAAAACGGTTGGAGTCATTTTCCTTAGAATTTTCATAAATGACTTCATCAAAACGTCCACCGGAGATGGTGCAACACGGCCAGGCAGCACCACCACTCTGCCACAACCTTTCCGTCTCGGCAGCACCACCTCTCTGCACACCACCAGGCCTCTCACCCTTTTGAGCAGACTAAAAAGCACCATTTGAGTTGACTCAAATGCACCTTTTGAGGTGACTCAAATGCACCTTTTGAGGCGACTCAAATGCACCTTTTGAGGCGACTCAAATGCACCTTGTAAGGCGACTCAATGACTCAAATGCAGCACCAACGCCCATCCACACCACCGAGCCTCTCGCCTCATCTCGCACCACCAGCCCCTGCACGAGCGCCTAGTACTTGACAATGCACAGACAGTTGCATTGACTGCCTTGACACCACCTAACCACACCTCACCGCACCTCAACTCACCTCACCTCACCTCACCTCACCTCACTTCACCTCACCTCGTCTGCAACCTCAATCCTCACCTCATCTGGCACCATCAGCCCCTGCACGCGAACCAGGTAGCACTTGACAATGCCCGGACCGCTGCCTAGACTGGCACTCTCCACACCATATTACCCCACCCTAACCCACCCCACCTCACCCCAACCCAACCCACCTCACCTCACCTCATCTGGCACCACCAGCCCATGCACGAGCGCCCTGTAGAACTTAACAATGCGCAGACGCTGGCTGCACCTCAAGCCTCACCCCACCAAACCGCACCCAACTCCGCTGCACCTCCAGCCTCTCACCTCATCCGGCACCATCAGCCCCTGCACAAGCGCCCTGTAGTACTTGACAATGCGGGGACCGCTGCCTAGACTGCCACTCTCCACACTGCTACTGCCATTGCCCCGACTCATACTGCTACTGCTCTCCTTGCCACTGCTGCTGCTGCTCCCGCTGCTCCCGCTGCTGCTGCTGCCTCTCCGCCGGCCCTTGTGGCGGGTGGGAGGAGCGGCATCTCCCCTGGTGGCAGCAGCAAAGTCAGCAGCTAGTCTGGCCTTGGCCACTGGGCTGATGGCGCAGATTAGAAGACCTGGCATGGGATGAGAAGGGGGAGAGGCAGAGTATTTTTAAGGTGCCTCAAAAAGCCACTAGGCTGACGGCAAAGATAAGAAGAGTTGGTGTGGGACGAGAAAGGGGAGAGGTAGATTATTTTTAAGGCACCTCAAAAATGGCCACCGGGCTGTTGGCGCAGATGAGAAGACCTGGTGTGGGATGAAATAGGAAGGGGGAGAGGCAGAGGGAGAGGTAGGAAGGCGGTTCAGTCAAGCATGGTCTGAGGCGCACCTCAAAGCCTCCGAGGTTTCGCTAACTGAGGTTTGATTTGATCGTTGTTAGGGCGTGGTGCCTTAGGCTTCGGAACTGAGTTCCGTCCGTCAACAAATACGGCAATCTATTTCGCCAATATTCGCGCATGAGTTCGCCAGCCACGTCGCGAATACCCCGTCCGTCCGAACAAGGTGCGGTACCCTCCGTCCGGACGGAGCGTCCGAACGTCCGCCTGAACGGAAACTCGTCATTTCTGAGCGACATGGCGAAAAATGAGAGCGGGGAAAACCGTTGCATTAAGTTTTGAACCGTTGCATTTTTTGCCCAGCGCTATGGCAACACTTCGCGCTGTGGGTTGGTAGAGCTGGCGGTTGGGGTTTGTTCCCTCTTGAATTTGTTGGTTTTGTGCATGTTCGCTCTGTTTCGCCATTTCGGTCAGATTCAAAATTTCGAAATTTGGGACATTCGGCTCGGACGGAAGGTACCAGACTTCCCTGTCCAGGCAGAGGGGTGTTCTGAACTCGATGTACCGGACTTGTCTGGTTCAAACCACGTGGAACTTTGGAACTCAGTTTCGGAACTGGGCCGTCCGAACTGTAGGCACCGCGCCCTTACTATTCGGCACAGGAGTAGGCTGACCAGGCTGACCGGGCTGACCGGGCTGACTGGGCTGACCAGGCTGACCAAGCCTCAACCAAACCCTCGAGCAAGAATCCAAGAGCAGAGACTGCATCCCGGCAGTACCTGATGTTCCACGCCCTATTCTGTGGGTGGGTGAGGCCATTCCTTGCGCCGACTCCATGGTGTCGCTCGCCCAGTCTATCCCACACTGCCCCTCCTCCTCATTGCCAGCTTTTGGCGTGCCATTCAACTCGTTTGATGCCTCAGTCTGCCTATCCAACGCCTCGGCCTTTCCTTGGGTGTGTGCTGCTGTCCCATAACCTTCCCCACACGTCTCTGCTGCTGCTTCGGGTTGCACTGGCAGCAGGCGGTTGCGTGCATGCAGGGAGTGCTCTTGAGTCGACTGAAGAGCAGCAGCAGGTGCAGGGCGTGCTCCTTGTGTTGTTGTGCCGTAGCATTTCCCACATGCCTCAGCTGCTTCTGGTCGCACTGGCACCAGGCAGTTGCGTGCATGCAGAGCGAGTAGAGAGAGCAGAGTGCGCTGGTGAAAGGGCGCTCCCCTCAGCACCTGCAGGCCACCAGGCTTTGATAACACCAGCTGATGAGGGGGGAAGGAGGGGGGAAAAAGGTGTGGTTGGGAGAGGGGTGTTCGATGGAGAGCTCCTCACCTTCCCGTGGTCTACAACCCTAGTTTTGAGGCGCCTCAAGTACAAACCCCCTTCGACCATCTTTCACAATCCTCCCCGCTTTCTCCCCCTCTTCCCTGCGACCGCTCTCACCACATGGTCATCCCGAAACAGCGCATTGAAACGGCAGGGCGCAGGGGGCTCCTCCCCCAGGGCGCTAGATCATGCCACAACCTTCCCCCATTACCCCCCCCCTCCTCCTCCCCCCCTCCCCCACCTCTCTCCCAGTTTCCCCCTGACCTCCCTGCTACCGCCCTCACCACATGGTAATCTTGAAACAGCACAGTGAAATGGCAGGGCACAGGGGGTATGGGGCATGGGGTAGGAAGCAGGGCGTGTTAGATTTTTCAGAATTCCCAAAAACCTAACACAGAAATGACAGGGCGCAGGGAATATGGGGCAGCAAGTTGGGGGGCTACTGCCAGAGGGCACTATATCCTGCCCCACCCTTTCCCATCCCCCCCCCTCCCCTCCCTGCTACCGCCCTCACCACATGGTCATCTTGAAACAGCACAGTGAAATGGCAGGGCGCAGTGGGCTCCTGCCATGGCGTGCGGCGGTAGCAGAGAGTGTCCGATAGGCTGAAGCGAGGAGGGGCAGGGCAGGGCAGGGCACGATGGGACGGGATGGGGTGGGGTGGGTTGTGGGGCACATGGCACTAGAGCATTGAAGCAGCGGGCATCAGGCTCCTGGCACAGCGTGCAGTGGCAGCAGAGACAGTTCGAGGGGCTGAGGGGTGGGGGATGCAGGGCAGGATGGGGTGGGATGGGGTGGGATGGGGTGGGATGGGGTGTGGGAGGGATGGGGAGTGGGGTGTGGGGCACAGGCGCAGTGAGAGTGTAGGGCAAGATGTGAGAGAGTAGGCACAATTGGAGACTGAAAAGAGAAGCAGTAGAGAGGGTGGTGTGATATGAGTGAGCTTCACAAACAAGGTAGCAGCGGACCTGCGGCAGGACACCGGATAGGAGCACATGCTTCTTAGAACGTTTTTTATTCTTTTTTTCCCCTGTTTTTTCAAGCCTGACGCAAGTGGGCGGCCGGGTACCTGAGAGGGGTTGCAGGGTCGGTAATACGGGTGCCGTTGAGAGTCACCTGCAGGATGCGAACCGAGTGGGAGTGGATGGATGGGTGGATGAGCATAGACGGTACGTTTGGAGTGGGAGGATGGGACATTCTCAAGGGTGGTACATTTGGATGGGTGCTAGGACTGGACGCCAATATGCAGATTGGCAGGGAGGAGGGGACTATTTCAGGTGAGAGGGAGGGAGGAATCTCGAACTAAGGGAGGGATGGACTACTTGCTTGTGAGAGAGAGTGGGTCCAGCAGTAGTGGTTTCAGTCCAGGCAAGCCCATAGATCTCCTGATCTGCTTTTGAGCAGTGATCTGATCTGCAAGGGGGAGTCACCTCACCTGACCGTTGGCAATGCGATCCAGCCACCTGTGCATAAACAACACATGCCGCCCGCGCACGTGTGCAAACCCCCTCTCCCCCGCCCCCCCCCCACCCCAGTGTTCCCACACACGCATGCCCACACACGCACACACCAAGTAAATGAGGCGAGGACTTGCAATTCACTGGCCGAGCGCCCACATTCTATAGACGCCTTAAAGAACGGTTCCTAGGGTTTAATTTGATGCAGCACATTTTTGAGGCGCCAGGAGTCTATTTTTGAGGCGCCTCAAAAATAGACTCCTCACGTAGGGTTTAATTTGATGCAGCACATGGCACCATGGGAGCAACGCACCCTTGAGCGGAGAGGAGGCGGAATGGGGGTAGCGGGTGCAGCAGAGGTCAGGTTCGGACATGCGGGCTGCGGACATTTCACCTCACCTCACAGTTTTGAATGGAATGCACTGTGTGTGGTGCGGTGTGGCCTACCTCTGAGTCGGATCAAAAGCAGACCCAACCCAACCCACCCTTGAGAGGAGGCGGAATGCGGGTATCGCTGGCAGTAGAAGTCAAGAACGGACGTGTGAGCTGGGGGTGGGGAACACGCAGGCACACATGCACCCCATGCGCACATGCACCCATACATGCCATGCACAACCACAGGCACACATGCACACGGGAGCAGTTGGCAGGGGGCATGTGAGAAGGAGACGTGGCATGAGTAGGGGAGAGGGTGTGTGTGCACGGGGGGAAGGGAGCACTGGGCAGAGGGCATGTGAACGGATGAGGTAGGAGGAGCAAGGGTAAGGAGGTAGGAGGAGCACCTATCAGTAGCACACGAGCAACTCTCTCTATTTTATGTGTCTCCTTGTCGCCTGTGTGCGTATCCACACCATACCCTCTGCTCTCTTTATTTATATATACTTGTCCTTGCCGTTTGTCTCTCTGTTGCGCTACATATGCTCACTTATGGGTGCCTATACAGATATTAGCTCGCCTCAGTGTCGTCTGTATTCGCCCTCTGTTATGTACAAGCGCATGCCGCCATAACCTGTACTGTGCCGCCCTGGATATTAGTGTTGAGGCGCCTCAACACCTTGTCCTGTGCGTGCCGCCATAGTACATTTTGCTGTGCGTACATTGTGCTGTGCGTACCCTGTGATGTGCGTACCCTGTGCTGTGCGTACCCTGTGCTGTGCCCCCGTGTATCCTATCCACGAACAGAGCCCCCTCGTTGCACTCCGGCCATGCCCGCAATCCTGGGGCGGGTGGGGGCACATGCAGCGACAGGAAGGGGCAGGAAGGGGCAGGCAGGGGCAGGCAGGGGCAGGCAGGGGCAGGCAGAGGGGAAAATGATAGGGGAGGTAGGTGGGGACTGGAAGAGCCAGCCCCGCTCGTTGCACTCCAGCCATGCCCGCACTCCTGGGGTGGGGGGCACATGCAGCGACAGGAAGGGGAGCACAGGGGCAGGCAGGGTCAAGAAGGGGCAGGCAGCAGAGGCATGCAGGGGTGCGCAGGGGCATGCAGGGGCACGCGTGGGGGGGAATGATAGGGGAGGTAAGTATCCTTCGTTGCACCTTGGCCATGCATGGGATCAAGGTGCCTTTGAGTCAACAGGTAGCCGGGACCGGCAGGAATATATGTTAGAGGCGAGTCAAAAGTAGATCAGGCGTGTCAAAAATAGACCAGGTGTGTCAAGAAATAGATCTTTCGTGTAAAAAAAAGATAACATTCTTGAGGGGGACAGGTAGATAAGACCGGAGGCAGGAGTTTATTTTTGAGGCGCCTAACAAAAAGATAAAGGCGACAATGCTGCTACTGATGCCGTTGCCATTTTGAGTCGACTCAAAAGCAATGCTGCTACTGATGCCATCGCTGGGAGCGGCAGGTCGAGACAACGGGAGATGGGGGATAGGAAAGATGGGGGATGAGGGGGGGAGTCAGGGGGGAGGAGGAGGGGGGGGTTCGTGGGGGGGGAGCAAGTGGATGGGGGATGGGGGACAGGGGAATGGGGGAACAAGTGGATGAGGGATGGGGGACAGGGGAATGGGGGGACAAGTGGATGGGGGATGGGGGACAGGGGGATGGGGAGAAGGAGGGGTTCCTTATTCCCCCATTCCCCAGTCCCCCATTCCCCCACCTCCCACACACAGACCTACGGTGATCGGAAAGTCTTCCGCACTCCCCCCGCTCCCCCCTAAGCGCGCCGGTTCCACGGACGAATCCGCTTGCATCCGCGCCTGCTCCGCGTCTCCCCGCGCACGCTCCCCCTGATCACCTCCGCGGACACTCGTTCGCCCGCTTCCGGCCCGACTGGCGCAGCCGCGCGTGCGCACAATTCCCGCGACTACTCCGCGGAACCCCTCTTCAGTGCGCCGGATTAGCCCCAGCGGCCAAGGTAAGAGACAGCGATGCGCGGAGAGGATCGGCGGAGGAAAAGGGGGGAGGGGAAACGCGGGGAAGCTGTGGAGATGGCGCGGGGAATAGCGGGGAAGACGATGATGGTGGAATTGAAACGCGGTATGACTCGTATTACTTCGAGCAGCCATGGAGCGGCCAGGAGGGGGGACGAGAGAGCCTTTGGAATCCTCGCTAAAAGTCGGATCGTCGCTTCTGGCTTATGAGGGTTCGTCGATTGGAGAAACATGTTACAACACAGTCGATCGCTACCCATCCCAACTTCCCAAGCCCCTAATTCTTCAATCATCTAAGATATGTTTTTCACAAGGGTTCTTCACAGGGGTTTCATACCACAACCACAAGCATCAATGACCCAGGATTTGGTTGGAGTTACCGTAAATAATCACCACTATTGACATACAACTAAGCACCGCTATTAACAATGCCCAGAAGCACAATCCACACCCCAGGCCCCAGGGGCATCTGCATTTAGCCACAACAGATTGAAGGCAAGTGAGCATGATATATACAGTCAATAGATGGCACTAGGAGCCCTCCCTACACAATGGGCCGAGCTCACTGAGAGCACCGCACCGCACCGCATCACAGGCTCTCTCAGAGCAAGGGAGCCGTACTAACAAAGCTCCTTGGATCCTTTCCAATGGAGCATTGGATTGGAAGCCTTGAAACGCATGGCATGTTGTCCCATTCCTGAGCGGCACCATCTTGCACCAGTACCCCCTTTTTCCTCTGCCCCCCCCCTCCCCTGTTCCGACCCCCCCCCCCTCCCCCTCCCTCCCCCTCCCTCCCCCCTCTCCCCCTTCCACCTGTCTCCCCCCTGTTCACCGGATGGCATGAATAGAGTGCACATATTCCTCCGCATCCTGCAACGCACTCCCAAACGCAACTGCCTCCAGAACCAGCCGCTCGACACCGCCCGCAGTCAGCCACACCACCTCGTCACGCACTGCCAGGGAGCCGTCTGGTCGCTCCTCCCACACTGGCGGGCCAAAGAGCGCTTCTGTGTGCCTCTCAATAACCCTGAGAGACTCCCTGTTAAAGAAACAGAGAGGAAAAAGAGGGGGCGAAGAGAGAGGGAGAGGAAGGGGAAAGAGACAGCGAAGGGGAGAGGGTGGTTAGCCATGCTGGGGGGACAGGGTGGGAAGTAAGCTGGGGTGGAGAGAGGAGCAAATGATGGAGAGAAGAGAATATCTAGAGACATATACCTTGAAAGGGGAAGGTGGGAGGTCAAGAGGCGAACAAACCGTACGAGTGAAGGGAGTCAGACGAGGGACGGAGCAAGAAATAAGGGACTAGACGAAGGGGGGAAATAAGGAGATAAGAAATTAGGAAAATAAGAAACGAATGGTTGGTTATTCCCAGCCACTGACCTGCTATGGATCTTGCTCATTTGCCGAACCAAGCCGGGATCCAGCCGCCGCAGGTACGCGCCAATATCCGCCTTCCGCGCCCCCCGCCCCGCGCCCCCCGCGCCATCACGCCTCCCCTGCCAGCACCGCTCCAGATACTTGCGCTGAATCTGGGTCGCCCCTACGCTAGACCTGACAGCCCCAGAGCTTCCCCTACCCTCCGAGCCGGTAACCGTGACGTCCTGGTTCGGCAGCTCGCTGCTGGTTACCACTCGCCGGGTTTCGCCCGGGAAGGAGGCTGGGGCGGAAGAAACTGCAGCCGCAGAACCCGCAGGTTCCACAGCCCCTTCCGCTGGTCGTCTACTACTAGTCCGTTCGACTGCTAGCTTAAGAGACATCTGCTGCTGCTGCTGCTGCAGCTGTTGATGATACTGCTTCTGCTGTTCACCACCAGCCAATAGCAACATCCCTTCCAGAAGACTCGCCTGGTTCAGCTGCCAGCACGTTTCGAGCTCGAGCCGCAAGTCCACCTGTCGGAGAAAATAGCCGTACGTGATCGACGACGCGTAGATCTGCCCGAGCCGCAACCGCGAGCTCTTTAATACACCCGGACCGTACGGCCTTGCCACTGCGCCGACGTTCCTAGAGCCGCTCAAGCCGCCGCTATTGCCCGCGCTACTGCCTCTTACGCCGCCGATGTTGCCGCTGTTGCCGCTGCTGCCGCTATTGCCGCTGCTGCCGCTATTGCCGCTACTCTTTTCTCGGTCATTTCCGCTGGTCGGGACGCCACGTGGCGGTTGCTCCAGCTGGCTCGCCATGACCATCGCCAGGTGTCGCGAAACCATCGCACGGACGGTGGGCGACAGCATCTTTCGCAGGCCCGTGCAGCTAGCGGCGGCGGTGGCAGCGGCGGGAGTCGCGGCGGCGGTTGGCTGGTTGGCGAGGAAAGGAACGGACGGGTTAACGGCGACTCGCGACGCGGCGGTGGTGCTATCGCGGATGGTGGACTTAGCGGCAGTTGCGCGGCTGTTAAAATTATCGCGGTTGTAGGTGGTGGTGTTATCCCGGTGCCAAGGGGAAGGCGGGAGAGCGGGGAGTAGAGGCAGAGTGCGCAGAAGCGGCGTGTGACCTTGCGAGACGAATCGGAGCGCCACTAACGCGTATAAGAGCTCCTGAAGCTCGTCGTGCTGGTCGCGCCGTTGGAGGCGCCAGATGCGGCTGAAAGAGCGGAGGACATGCACAAACGGGGTAGAGAAAATGAGCGGGGAGCGTGAGACAGTGGGAAAGAAACGGCGCTAAGAATAGCGAACGAAAAACGGAGTTAGAATTCGGCAAATGAGACACCAAACTTGTCTTCACAACGGACCTACTCGGAAAAGCGAGCGTCTAACGAGCGAGCACCTATTGCTCTATTGGGCAAGCAAGAAAGAGAAGATACCACGCGAATGACGCTCAGGACGAAAGAGGCTTCATGCTCTACAGGAGAACGAGACATGACTTAGGAAATTCAGGCTTGAAAAGAATCAGCTGATTAGGTTTGAAGTAAGAAATGCACCTTTGCAGTAAGTTCGCCTCATCCGCCCATCGAACTCCTTGTATCGAGTCTCCTAGTACAGAGTCCACCGGCCCTGCAGCCGCGCCGTTTCCGCGCCCAAGAATGGCGAAAACATCGCTGCTGTCGCTAGCGCCTTCGCCAACCGTCGCCTCCTCCTGCAACCGTCGCAATTCAGCGTCAACCGCAGTCGGAACCATAGCGGGAACAGACGATAATAGTCCGAGAAGCCATTTCCCGGCGAGGGTTTGTGGCTCCAGCGGAGGAGCAGAGGACCGGGACATCATCGAGGGAAGAAACCCTGAAGCTTCACTGCCCGCGTTACTCGTGCGCGGGGATAAACTCGCTGCCTCTGGCTCACCAGCAACCAGACTGCTATTATTGCTGCTGCTGCCGGCGCTCGCGGCGGGTTCGGCGCTGAGACTGCCGGTGCTGGCTGTGGTTGTGGCCGGGGACTGCGGCTGCCAGCACCCGCCGGGTGCGGCGGGCGCCATGGAGCTTCTCGTCAAAATTCGCCGCCGGGAAACGCGGCGGTGCGGCGGGCACGGGCCCCGAGTCTTGAGCCATCGGCGCGAAGGGGTGGAGAGAGTTGGGAGTGAGAAGGTGAATGACGAGGAAGGCTCGAGGAGAGCGGCGTTTTCGGAGAACGGGACGGCTAGTGACGCGGATGGACGCGCGGAGTTGGAACGAGAAAGAGCGAGGGACGCGGAAGATGATAGCAGCCGTACAGAGGGGATGGAGCGAGAGAGCGAGATGTGCGAGCCGGACACGGGGGAGGAACGGGACTTCGGCGACAGAGTGACGTTCCGCCGTGCTAATCTAGATATTGTGGGACAACTGACTCTCACTGGAAGGGTCTTCATCGTGACTGACTCTCACGGAAAGGGTCTCACAACGGAAGGATTCGCTAGGTCCGTCTCTCCGATCGAAAAGTGAAAAAATGGGAGAAGGCTGTGCGATATGCGGCCTGTCCTTATAAACTAACAAGGGAGTAGGACAGGGTAGGCGGGCCAGGTGCAACAACGGAACGCAACTGACGGAATGGATGGGGTTAGGTTGGTCTGGTCTCTGGCTCTCTACGCGCAGCATCGTGCTGCTTGTGGATATGGTCTGGCGCGTGGGTGGGCGTTGCCGTGCTGTCGTTGATCTGCTTTGCTTGCTGCCATTTTGCTGTGCGCAAGCAACAGTGCGTGCGCGAGGGGACGAATCACGAGTCGCCCGAATTCAGCCAGCCTCCCTCGCCTCATCCGTTCGCTGGGGAATAAGCGGAGCCGGGTTGGGGTTTGGGAGAGATTTGACTGCTGGTTGCCTGCGAATCCGCGCTGGTTGGGGTGGGGGGGAAGTGGGGGTGCGGCGCACCACGGAAACGACAGAAGCGTTGAGGTGAATTGACGGACCAGCATTTGGGCGAATCTGGTTGGTGAGAAGAATGGGCGGAGGGGAAAACCTGTCTCCGCCAGAAGGTCTGTTCTGTTCTGGTTCCGCCGTAGGTCCATCCTACCACCAGCTGCGATGCGGTGGGGGGGAGAGGGACGGAACGGAACGGAACGGCCACGCGGAGCGCATGTGGGGGCGAGGCCAGGGGGAACAGGAGGGCAGCGGAGGAACGGACAGACGGAGACGTTCGCGGAACTCAGCAGCACATGAACGCGAACCTGTAACGGCACGTTCCCTCATCTTCTGCTTTTCTTCCCACTTTCCTCGCTGCGCTGCGGAGCGACCCACACCACCTGACGCTTTTGCTGGCAAAGGGAGGCGCAATGCGCTGGCTGGCTGAGCAACATTCTTCGTCGCTCGATTGGCACAGTGGCGGGATGTGAGAGGCCGAACATGTGCCATCTCCGCAAAATGCTGTGCGCCGCAGTGCCACGCCTGAAACGGTGCGGCGAACCGCCCCTACGCGCACGAGATACCCTGCGCTGCGTCTCATCCAAGAGCCTCGAATTTGCGCACCTCCGCGATGCGTCCGCCTTGGCCGGAATGGTTGAGGGTGGTTCAGCGCGAATGTCCGAACCGCAGTGTATGGAGTTCCCCCATCGTTGGGGGGTGGACTGCCTTGGGGGGAGATAGGAATGCACCACTTGGATGCGGATCTGGCCACGTTGGAAGTCCCATCGATTCACCGACCTTATTTTTTTGGCAAACGCGATCTCCAAAAGGGTGTTCTTCAGTCTGCATATTCCTTTCATTGTGTGCCATGCATTACACTGTACCCGGAAGTTGAGGTGGCCGGGCAGGTATTGAACGTTTAGAAATATACTGACCGTGTCCTGCAGTCAGAGCGAGTGGTCCAGCTAGCAAAGAATGGCACCCACGGTTGACAGGGCGGTTCCAGGAAGCCGCAACCAGCCGTCGATCTGCAAGCTCATCCACTTTCTACGGTCAGTGCGAGCCGTGCGGAGAACCAGGGGTCACCGAGCCACTGCAAATGTTGTGGTAGGCAAGGACCAAGGATTCTCCAGTGCTTTCGTTTTGAATCCATTTCACTCAACACAGGTTATATATTTTATTTCCTTACATAACCTCATCATTTTACATGGTTGTCAAAAAGAATATATGGTCATTCGCTTCGGTTGTGCAATACGGAACCTATTCTCACTTAAATTGAATACAAAAATTTCAGATGTTTGTTTACTGTGGGTTGGGTGTCAAACATATATGCATATATTATTATAGGCTAGATAGGTCAATGCTCTTAGAGAGTACAATACACTAGCACAAAGTCACCACGTACCCTACATTCTAGTCAATCCGTTATTCTGAGATGGTATCACGCTAGGTTAGGTCCCTCACCCGCGATTCCGCCCTAGATCCCCCTAGTCCATAGCGTCCGCCCTCGTTCCTAGCGCCCGCCCTCGTTCCTAACGCCTGCCCTAGTCCCTAGTGCCCGCCCTATCGTGCGCCGCGCGAGCCCTCGCCCGTTGGCCCCACACTCGCCGCTGGCCCCACGCTCGCCGCTGGCCCCACGCTCGCCGCTGGCCCCACGCTTGCCCGCTGGCACACCCTCGCTTGCTGGCCCCACGCTAGCCGATGGCCCTTGCGCGCGCTGCGCAAGCGCTCGCCCGCTAGCCCCGCGCTCACCGCGGGCCCTTGCGCGCGTTGCACGAGCCCTCACCGCTGGCCCCACGCCCACCCGCTGGCCCCACGCTCGACCGCTGACCCCACGTTCGCGGCTGACTCCTAGCTTGTCTCTGGCCCTTCGTTCGCCTTGCCCTGGCCCCTGCTCGCCGACCCTAGCTCGCTGGCCCTAGCTCACCGACCCTAGCTCACCGGCCATCGCTTGCCGGCCCTCGCTCGCCGCCCCAGCTCGCCAGCCCCCAGCTCGCCGGTGCTCGCTCGTCCGCCTGCGATCGCTAGCCGCCCCCTAGCTCACTGGCCCCAGCTCGCCGGCCCCATCTACCGCCGGCCCCAAATCCTACCACTCCTGCGTGCCACCGCCGCGCTGCAACACTCCGCTTGCCGAGCCGTGCCATCCCAGATCGTCGTGCCGCAGTGCCGCTGTGTCGCCGTGCCGCTGTGCTGCCGTAGCCGTGGTGATGGCGGATCCTGTGCTCCGCCTTGACACAGAGGGTCGGGCGGGTGATTTTGAGACGTGACTCGTCGACCTTCGCCGTCAGCTAATGGGTTAGTGCAAAGACGGCTATTCCCTGGCCGTCCATATCGACAGTAAGCTCCCCTGCCCCAATGCGCCCGCAGCTCCACGCCGACGCCACCCGTGGGTCGTGTCGGTCGCTCACCCACCCGTCACTGTTGTGTCGCTCACCCACCAATTGCCTACGTTACCCCACAATCCAGCGTCTGCATCACATGTCTCAGCACGGTCTTGTCTTAGGTCTCCCTTCATCGCTCCCTGCTCTCCCTTCCTCGCCTGCGCTGTCGTGCACGCCCTTCGTCGAGGGTCGGCTACACCATGCTCCTCACTCCTCCCCGCTTCCCCCTACCACTACGCCACTCCAGACCCTGCACCTGGACGTCTTGGGCCCAGCCCTGTCCTTGGGCCGCGTCGAGCGCGCTACTTTCTAGTGCTTGTCGACGACTACCCGCGCTACACCACAGTGTTTCCCCTGGAGCGAAATGACGATATGCCCGAAGTTCTTATCCCCGGGGGTCGTAGCTGCGCGAGTCCGCCGCGGCCTCCTTGTGCTGCGTCTTCACTCTGACCGCTACGGCCAGTTCGCCTCCTGTCGGCTTGTCCTATTCTGTCGTGCGGAGGGCATCACCCAGTCATACACCCTGCCAGACTCCCCGCAGCAGCATGGGGTTGCTGAGCGACGCATCGGTTTGGTCATTGAGGTGGCTCGTACCTCCATGATCCATGCTAGTGCACCCCATTTTCTGTGGCCGTTCACTGTTTGCTACGCCGCTCATCAGCTTAACCTGTAGCCGCACTCCCAGCGGCCGCATGTTTTGTCGACCCTCCTCTGAACCGGGTTCCCTGGTGATGCATCTACGTTCCAAGTCTAGGGCTGCCTCGCTCACGTTCGTGCCTCTGGCATGGACAAGCTCACTGCCGGCACTGTCCCTTGTGTCTTCCTTGGCTTCCCCCAAGATGAATCTGACTGGCACTTTTGCCACCCCCCGTCTCACCGTTTTTTTCACTCTCGTGACGTCACTCTCGACGAGTCTGTCTCCTCTTACAATCGCTTTCCCCAATGAGGTTTCCCGGCTCTCCAGTTTCTGGTTCCCACTCCCTTGGTAGCCCCTGCTCCTCTCCCTCCCCGTCTTGCCCCATCTGGTGTATCTCACGCCACTCCCCTCCCGTCGGTTGTCCTGGTCGAGGAGTCGGCTGACTCTGGGGGCCCTGCGCCTTTGGTTTCGTCGCCTGTCTCTGCCTCGGTGTCTCCTACTTCGCCGCCGTAGCAGCCGCCGCCGTCGCTGCCACAGCAGCAGCTGCTATCGGAGCCGCCACAGGGCTCTGCTCTGGGGGTGCGGCCGCTGAGGAGGGTGCTAGTCCTGGGAATACTGTCGTGGCTTGTCTCGGCGGTCCTGGAGGAGGCACCGGCGCTGGAGAGGGTTCTCGTTCTAGGGGCACTAGTCCTGGGGGTACTGTCAAGGCTTTTCATGGCGGTCCTGGGGTTGGCACCGGTGCTAGAGATGATTCTCGTTTTGGGGGTGCTGGTTCAAGGGGTGATAATCCTGGACGTACTATCCTGGCTTGTCCTGGCGATTCCTGGGGGTGGCACCGGTCCTGGGAGCGTCCCAGATGTAGCCGTGGTGCGGCTGGAGGTTCTGGCTTCGGTGTAGAGCAGTAGCAGCAGTCACCGCCGGTGTCCGCCCTTCGCCTCCTGGGTCTTCCCTCCCCTGATCGCCCGCATGCGCCTCCCTTGCCGTCACCTCCCCCGGGCTTTAAGTCTTCGAGGTATTTCCAACAGTCATAATCTTGATATAAAATGCAAAATCACATGCCTAAAATTGCAAAAAAAAAAAAAAAAAAAAAAAGATAGCTCCGCAACCCTAAGACGATTTAGTCGACTCTAAAAAAATAAAATTAAAAAAAAAAAAAAAAAACGAAAGCTTCCTATCTGTTTGTCAATTCTGTTGGAAATATCTCAAAGGACTTAAGCGTTTCTGAAGTGTAACACTACACTCGAGGAAGATCGCAACGGGTACACGAGTCAACGGAGGTTACACGAGGGGACGGACAAAGAACGCGAAGAGACTCGAAGGGTCGCAACTGGAGGTTGCGACTGACCGTTACAACAGCGCGGATGGTAACCGAAGCGACAATCGAGTCGCCGTGCGACTCGATAACCGTTCCTGCAACTGTATTCTACAACTGCTTTCTTATTTTCTATATATTGTTGTATGCTTGTTTCTTTAATCAATCACTTGTTCTCATATACTAGTATAAGGGTTCAACTGCCTCAACTTCCGCTGCACTACTCAAGTCTCATTCTACAACTGGGACTTAGTCTCTGGAAAGATCCTAAGGGCTTTTCTCAGCCCAATATGGTATGAGAGCTGGTCAGAGACCAAACTCCCAGCAACTACGCTCCATCTAC